GGTCACTTTGGCGTATCGCCCTGCAACGGTCATCGCGTGCTGCCAGAACAAGCCCTCCCGCTCCTGTGGCTGTTCACAAACTTCTGTCAGCCAGCAGAAACGTTACCCCAAGCCAAGCACTCAAGCAAGAATGAATGAGGCCCTGGCACTCTCCCACTTTGCCTTGGCTGCCCTCCATTTCTCCACACAGTCCTTGCTGCCTTGGTGCCATGCCTCAGCTGCCCAAAGTTAACAATCACATCAGAAGGTCCCGGTCCAGCCGCCATGTCCAGCCCACGGGCATACGGGAGTTGATCGAACAAAACTGTCTGTGACTGGTGGCGGCCTTGAACTCACGTGATGAAGCCTAACTTCGGCTTTTGCTGGACCGTAGACCTTCCCAAGCAAAAATGACCTGACCTTCACTGGAGCAGGATCTATACTGTCTCGAAACGAAAATGACCATATGTCGGAGCGGTGTTCGGCAAAGGAGTGGCCAAAGTTTCTGGTGGCAGACCCCCGAGGCTGAAAAATCCCGGCTCTGCAGAAGGCCAGCTTTTGCGACACTGCCAAGCTGCTTCGAAGACCTTCATGTCGTGCTCGAAGTTTTGCAGCCATGCTTTGCGCTGCACCTCCTCTGCCCGCAGGTCAGCTGCCAGCTTCTCTGCATCTGCTTCGGCAGTCTCAGCAGAACCCAAGGGCACAGGTGCGGGTGCACTTGATAACAACTGTGCGACGGATGGGATTTGGTCCTTGGCTAGGGCGGCGAAGTGCTCCGTGTGGACATAATTCTCCGGGAGAGAACATGTGAGCATCGCCTGCAACCTTGCCGAGAGCTTGCCCTCCTGGAACGCATGTTGAAGTTCCTGCTGCTGCTCGGCTGGCACGTTTGCCTGCTCCACAACATCAGTCATGATGTTGCAGAACAGGTTGCATCGACCAACCAATGCGTGCAAGGCAGTCGAGGGGAACTGTTGCCTGTGCTCCGTACGTACACACACACACACTGAAGTTCACAGAAGTTTGCAGTGCAGATGCTAGCCACTTGCAGGCTGACTGTTATCTCATCTGCTGGCAAGCCACTTGTCGCACTTCTCTGACTTCTCCTCCATCATCATCTGCTGCAGGATGCAACGCTGTGAGGCCACTGATCCTCTGTAAATTTGTTCCCACTCCTTGTGCGAGACATCTCGCCTCAGCTGGTGCCACACAGAGGCAACCCTCCACACCGCTGCGAACACGTGCACACCCCCTGTACTGTGGAAGTGTGACAGAAGTTGACTGAAGTGTTACAATCTGCAGCTGTGGCACGCACTCAGGCCGACGTAGAACCCACGCTGTTCCAGTACGCCATCATTGAAGCGGGCATCACTGGAGGCTGCCAGAACCAGAGTGAACACCTTGGAGTCACCGGGAACTCATAGGCACAATCAAGAAAAACATGGAGTTGTCCATGCCCATGCACAAAGCCAACACGGGCCTCATCGGGCAGATGGACATCTGATATGGCGTAGCGCACGGCGAAGGCGGCCCGCCCACGAAGCTGCTGTCCTGCGTTCTGAATGATGGTAGAGTTGTACTTTTTGATGAGGGCCGCGATGTCCTTGCCCACCTGTTTCAAAAATGTTTCCCGGGCACGGGCACTTTCTCTGGCTCTCTTGCTAGCTCTCTCGCTCTCTCCGTTTCTCTGTCTCTGTCCCTCTCTTTGGTGCCATGCACGCCACCTGATCCGTCTCGAGGCTGTCAGTGGGGTTCTTGGTGGCTGCTACAAACATCTTTTTCATCAAGGAAGCAGTCATGACCAAATCGAGGCGTCTGTGCCTTTTGTGCAGGATGGAGGTTTGGGTCATCGCACGCAGCGCACGCGACTTGGCATCCACCACCTGCCCACGCTGCGGGCAAACCACATGGATGACCTTCAAGAGCTCCAGCACTGCATTGCCATTGCCGAGGCATGTCTGATTGTTCTCACTAAGAGCTTTGAGGCACGTCACAAGAACCAGGCCATACGCACCCAAGAGACAGCAGTTAAAGTGGGCCCCTCCGGCTCCAAAGCGGAGCCGCCAAGCGTTTGCTGGGAACTCTGTGCTTTTGACAGCCTCCACCTCCAGCACATGTCCACAGACACCCGTCGCAAGCATGGAGTTGGCGACCTGCCCAAAAGGCGACATGCAAGGACAGAGAGAAGTAGTATATTATCTTAATATCTTCATTTGGAAACCACTTACCAACAAAAAACAGACTTCCAGACAGTCGGAGACCAACATCGCGAAGGGGTAGCTCTCGTTGGCAAAGATGTTGAGGAAGAGGACATGGATGGTGCCTTGCCTCGGCGTCCTCGATGTTGACTGAAAGCCCGCGTAGCACGTTTCTTGTCCCGAGGCACAGGGGGCTAGAACCTGCACGGACTGGCTGAAGGTCTCCATATCCTTCTTCCCGGCGAAAATGACATCGGCCAAGAAATGATGCACCGGCTGGCGTGCTTCATCCCTGCTGACCATCTGCTTCAGAATGTCTTGCAAGGAGGTTGCGGTTGCTGTGTCGGAAGCACATGATCCTGGCTCAGCTTCCGGGTCCAGAACCATTGTGGCATCCTGCGACTGCTGCACAGCCTGGGCTTCCTGCAAACACTCGACGCGTGCATTCGAATCCGAAAAGGTGCATGTGCACAAGCACGTCTCCTGGCCTCTGTGCCTGCCGCCAAGCTTGGTGAGTATTCATCACTGACGTCACTCACATGCTGAGTTTCAGCCTTGCGCTTGCCCACCATTGCGAGGGGCAGTTGCCAGCTTTGACAAGCACGCCAGGCCTAATCTACGAAGTCATTCTAGTCCCGACTGTGATGTCATGTGCGAAATGTGTGTGAGACGGGGCAGTTGCCAGCTTTGACAAGCACGCGAGGCCCAGCTACACAGTGATTCTAGTCCCGACTGTGATGTCATGTGCGCAATGTGTGTCAGACGAATCTCTCAACGAAATCATCAAGTTGACCCCTTGCATCATGCCGACGAAAACAAAGTATGAAACAGCTTTCAACAGGCTGCCTGACTCAGGACGA